ATACATACATACATACATACATGTTAGGGCACGCTTCGCCCTTCAACTCAACTCCGCAATCCTGAAGCACAGGGTTGAACTTTACATCCCATCAGGATACCTTTCGCCCAGGAGGAAGATGAACCCTAAACCCTAAACCCCTAAAGCCCTAAACCCCAAACCAGAAAAAACACAACAAACATGCTGCCTCATTAGCTGTGGCGCCCAGGTAGAGATATGGATGCGCTGTCTTCGCCTCGAAACTCCGGTCTTCTCATAGGGGATCTGTAGGTTTAGGGTTTAGGGTTTAGGGTTTAGGCCCTAAACCTTACGAATTTCAATGGGTATGACTGGGTTTTATGGTGGGTTATAGGGACGTTTGTCAGGGTTGTTGATTCAAGTTTAGTGTCAGGCTTGCCTTTAGGCTTCCCTTGATAAGGAACGGGCTAGAGGGATTAGGTCCGGGATACCACGAAAGCGAAGGATTTGGGATCCATCTACAACCAAAACTCTAAACCCTAAACCCGAAACCCTAAACCCGAAACCCGAAACCCTAGACCCTAAACCCGCTTGGGCCCCTTACGAGTTCTCGACTAGGGCTTCTATCACGCGCCTGCGCCAACAGCGAAGAATGGATTGTGGTTGGCAGATGGTTTGGGGCTTTAGAGGTTCAGGGTTTAGGGTTTAGGGCCTCGGGTTTATGGGTTTAGGGGTTTGGGGTTTGGGGTTTAGGGTTGAGGGTTTAGGGGTTTAGGGTTTAGGGCAAACTGGACGTATGTCTTCACCACCCCAAACACAAAAGGGCAGCTTGGAAGACTTCGAGGGATGCGAGTCGGCTTGTGATCTTTGAAGGGTTTAGGGTTTAGGGTTTAGGGTTTGTGAACTTTGTTGAAACTATGGGGCAAGGGCTTACAGGTTTATCGTCTGAGGCTCCGACCTCCCCCGAAAACACCAAACTTGACCCTAAACCCCCAAACCCTGAACCCGAGACCCTAAACCCCAAACCCTGAAGCCGAAACCTTAAACCCCTAAACCCTAAACCCCACACCCTAAACCCCAAACCCTAAACCTCAAATCCTAAACCCCAAACCCTACACCCTAAACCGGCTTTGGGGAACCTTCGGCCCTTTCCAAACCCCAAAAACCCTAAACCCCAAAAGCCCCAAATCCATGAACCAAGATCAAACGAACCCGTAAAGGAAACCTGTAATCCTAAAGCCCTTAAATGTTCAGACCGTAAGCCCTGAACCTTTGACCCTAACCACTAAATCCTTAAACCCCTAGACCCCTGCTAAACCCCTAAATCCTAAACCTCTGAATCCTAAACCTCTATATGCTAAACCTCTAAATGCTAAACCTCTAAACCCTAAACGACTATGTCCTAAACCTCTAAACCAAACCTCTAAACCCTAAACCCCTAAAACCCTGAACCTCAAAATCCTAAACCTCGTCTAAACCCGGCCTCCACTTCGGGAGCTTTGCTCACTTTCCCAGCGATGCAGGGGGAGAACCAGGCAAAAGGCATGCTCGCCTGCGCAGGACCGGAGCCAAAGGCGGGGAAGCTCCCACAGGGCCCCCCTGAGAATGCACCGGTTTGAGGATTTGTATGCATATGGGTTTAGGGTTTTGGGGGTTAGAGGTTTAGGATATAGAGATTTAGGGATATATACCTATATATATATATATATATATATGTATGTATGTATGTATGCATATATATACATATATATATATATATACATATATATATATATATATATATGCATGTAGTATGCCTTGAGCTTTTAGATATCAAGACCTGACTGGGCCGTGACTGATTGAATAAAGGAAAACTGTCCATTTCCTGTACAGACGTTGAGGTTTCGGGTTCAGGTCTGTTCTTTAACTTGGTCCTAGGTTCCTCAGCATACGCCGCAATCCCGAGCAAGGGGACCACCAAGACAACAGCGTACTACACTACTGCCGGAGATCCAAGCACGAAGCATCACCAAAAACCCTAAACCCTAAACCCTAAACCCTAAACCCTAAAGCCCGAAATTTCTTGAAATGAAAGGAGCCATTTATGGAGGTACTGCTGTTCCTGACTGGACAGGCTCGCCATTTCCGAGAGCTCTGCCTTCAGCACAGTGTAGACTGATCTGCAGCTACTTGTCTGTGGTTTCGGCCTATCAGGATATATGGGTAGTTCTCTAAATTCGGCTTCTGTTAGGTCCATTTTAGAAGGGTGCCGTACTATATAAAGGAATCTAAAATGGGCCCCTAATTTAGAGAACTACCCAAAAACTAAGAACCCACACCACCAACAAAGGTGTGTTGAGGTAAGCTTTGGGCTCGTCCAACAGATCCCCTTCCCTTTACAAGGGGTATTCTTGGAGATCCTACTTCCAAAAATGCTGACCAGAGATCCCCCCCAAGCCTTAAACTTCGTTTGGGGGGTTTTGGGTTTTGGGTTTAGGGTTTAGGGTTTAGGGTTTAGGGTTTAGGGTCCAAACCAAAAAAATAGAACATCGAACGCCCATGAACACCCTAAAAAGGCTTTAGGGCTTCAGGTTGAGATCTCTAGGCTTTACCTTAAACCCCACGTAAAACCTTCCTCTTTAGGGCTCCGCATTATGATGTCTTTATATAAGTCCTTGACAAGGTTCTTTGGGGACCAGGTAGGTTTTGTGGTGTGAAATGTGTGAGGTCTGGAGTTCAGGGTGGGCTTCGGCATTAGCGTTTACTGTTTAGGGTTCCTTAATATAAGTGTACTGTACAGGAACCCAACAAAACCCTATTCTAACTGTTAAGGCCACAACATTAAGGCTAAAGGCCTATAAAATTCGGATTTCCCATACTAACCCTAAACCCTAAACCCTAGGGCCTTGTATGGGGCCGATGCAGAGAAGATGGGCATGCGGGTTATTGAGCTCCGCATCGAAGTAGGGGTGTAACAGTCGGGTTCAGGGTTTATAGGGCTTAATGTATGGGCCTTAATTATTAATTAGAATAGGGGTTTGGGGTATACGGTATACTCTACTCTAACCTAACTACTTATTTGCAGTATACATGGACCCTGTGGGGACCATTATCAAATTACAGGGTTTAGCATGTTGGAAATCTTGCTAGGTCCGGATTACATCTTACAGCATTATTCAAGACCACAAGCCTTAGAGTATGAGTCCTTAGAGCCTGCGGGTATAAACCCTAAACCCTGAATCCTACTAGGAAAGTCACCCTAAACGACATGTTTTCACATCCAACACGTAGCGCACTGCCGGGTATCACATGCTGGAACAAAACTGAGCCGCTCATAATTATAATTGGCCTGACGCCTGCATCGGAACATAGTGATTTCCCCTTCATCGGGAGGAGCATCATTCTTGGCAAGATGCACGACGCTGCTCACCTTGTGGCGGAAGGCGAACCTCGAGTCCTCCTGCACAACGCTGCTCAGACCCAGTCCAATGCGAGCTACCTGGGCCTCTGCCTCGTTGCGATCTCCCTCGGACACAAGATCACCGGGATCATCGGCCTCATCGGATTCTACACCATGGTCACTGTCGCCATCGGCCTCGACCATCCGAGGAAGGACGGCCTCGGCCCTGCCATGAACTAAAACCGGAACGCCCTCGTCGATAGTTCAACACCCTGACCAGCGGGCACTCCTTTCCGAATCAGGAAAGAAAAGGAAACCCTGAATGCAAAGATAAACCCCTTGGATGAAGTGGAGCACGGCGCTTTGCCCATCCCTTTCATACTCGGCGGGGTTTCGTTCGCCAACGGCAAGGTGATACCCTGCTCGACGCTGCAAATCACTAGGGCATGCTGCACGCGACAGCCAACTGAGAACAGTACACTTGAGCGAGTGCGTTGCAACATCAAGCCTGGCCTCAGGACCCCTAAACCCTAAACCCTAAACCCTAAACCCTAAACCCTAAACCTTAGCCCCTGAACTTCGCGAGCATCTCGCGGAGCCACAAGGCGCCGCTGCAAGCTTCAAAAGGAGTCTTGGCCCAGGCTCCCCAGGCCATGGGAGCTGTTGCAGAGGAACATCTAAACCCTCAACCCTAGAAGGGGTTTAGGGTTTAGGGTTTAGGGTTTAGGGTTTAGGGTAGACTGAGAGGCTTCTGAACTCCAGCTTGGCCCCTGGGGATCCTAAAACCCACAGTTTTAAGGGTTGAGGGTTTAAGGCTTTAGGGTTAAGGCTTTAGGGTTTAGGGCTTTAGGGCTTTAGGGGTTTAGGGCTTCAGGGCTTTAGGGCTTTAGGGTTTAGGGTTTTAGGGCTTTAGGGCTTTAGGGTTTTAGAGTTTTAGGGGTTCAGGGCTTTAGGGTTTAGGGTTTTAGGGGTTCAGGGGTTTAGGGTTTTAGAGTTTTAGGGTTTAGGGCTCTGATTAAGGGGTCACAACCTACTATTCTGTGGGGTTTCGGGATACAGGAAAGGGATCAGAACCACTAAGAGTTCCGGGTTCAAGGTTTAGAAAATAGACCTTTATGCGGTTTAGGGTTCAGGGTTCGGGGTTGAGGGTTTAGAGAATATACCTGTGGCAGTTTAGGGTTCAGGGCTTCGGGCTTAGGGTTCAGAGCCCTTACATGAATGAAACTTGTTAATGGAGCCCCTACAATTTCATGGTTCAGGTTTTTTGGTGGTTCAGTGAACATACCTTTACTTCGAATTTCAACAAATAGTATTCAGCTCTCTAGAAATTCAGGTATGTTGCTTAGGAGTGTGCCTTCAACTACCTTGCTAACCTACACCCTAAACGCTATTCCCGAAACCCTATTCCCTAAACCCTAAACCCTATTCCCTAAACCCCTAAACCCTATTCCCTAAACCCCTAGACCCTATTCCCTAAACCCCTAGACCCTATTCCCTAAACCCTATTCCCTAAACCCCTAAACCCTTTTCCCTAAACCCTATTCCCTTAACCCTAAACCCTAAACCCTATTCCCTAAACCCTAAACCTTATTCCCTACACCCTTACTAAGGTAAATTCATTTAAGGGGTGTTCGGCGCGCTGGGTGTCTCTCGCTACGGTAGCCTCTGGCTGCAGCTTGAAGCGCGGTGCATCCGTGCAATCCTGTCCAGGGCATCTATCCCAAAGGCTCTAAGGACTCATATTCTGAGGCTTCTGGGCCCAAGGACCATACTAGAAAGGGCTTTTGGGCTATTTTGAGCCTTAGGGTATAATCGAATCTATGTAGGGTTTAGGGTTTGGGAGTTCATGTACAGGGCACTTGCCACTAGGAATCAAGGCTTTGGGTAGTACCTTGGCCTCCCATACCTTACTATGAGCTGTTGCAGGATGCTGCAAGGAATCTCGAAAAACAGATCTTGAAAACAGCATGCTGATCCTACGGTGCGAAACCCTAAACCCTAAACCCTAAATCCCCTTCAAAGGGAACCATTTTCGACCCGAAGCATCACGGAGCTCGGTTCCAGAGTCTACACCCAACGGCAAGGCTCCAACAAGCCCAAGCTACTGCGCGGTTTAGGGTTTCGGGTTTCGGGTTTAGGGCCCTAAACCCTAAACCCTAAACCCAAACTACAGGGTTTCGGGTTTCGGGCTGAAGCCCGAAAATCCCGGAGAGCTTAGGTTGCAGGTAAGTGTGGCATGTAATTGTATCCCTTCTAGACTCTCTGGGAATGTTTAGACCCCAAGGTTAGTAGCTACCATTTGTATACATGGCCTACTTGTCCAGTATTTGGGGAGAACTAAAAGTTATAACCCTTGGGACTATATAAGGATTATAGTACCCCCCCAAACCCTAAACCCTAAACCCTAAACCCTAAAAACTAAACCCTAACCCCCCCTCCCGAAAAAAAAAAACATACTCCACTAGGTTGTAAATATCCCAGGCTGGCCCGGCTTCGGATGGTAAAACGCCGAGGTCCGTGTGGCGTTTATCCTTTTGGGTTGTGACGGTTGTGGGTTTAGCGTTTAGGGCTTGGGCTTCAACTTAACCCCAAATAACCTGCCTTTTCAAAGGACGTATATAAAGAAACCATAATAAAAAAAACCCTATTTATAAAAGAGGCAGGTTCTTTAGGGGTTCAGGTGGGGTTTATAGGGGGAATTACAGAGCTTCCAGGTTGTGCGGTCTAGATGCTGCTGCGGGTTAGGGCGTTGTAACCCACACCCTGAGATTCCGAAGCAAAAAGTCCCTAAACCCTAAACCCTAAACCCTAAACCCTAAACCCTAAACGTACATCGTAAACCCTAAACCGTTAAACCCCGGAGCTCTACACCCTCAACCCTAAACCCTAAACCCTCAACCCTCAACCCTAAACCCTAAACCCTAAACCCTAAACCCTAAATCCACATCCCCATCCTGCTGGAAGAAGAGGGTGTGGCTGGTGCGGTTCACCATGCGAAACCTGTCTGGCGGAGTTTAGGGTTTAGGGTTTAGGGTTTAGGGTTTAGGGTTGCGGAGTTTGGTGCTCTTTGGTCCTTTTTGCTTTACACATGTTGGTTCGGTGGAACGCCAAGGTTGGCTAAGGCTGTGGGCTGTGATACACCAATACTTACAAAGCTCCCTAAACCCTAAATAACCCCAAACCCTAAACCCTACACCCTAAACCCTAAACTAAACCCTAAAACCTATACCCTAAACGCTGAACCCTAAACCCTCAAACCCTACATTGAGTGCAGTCAACATACAGACTTAAACGAGCAGACAGAGGCTTCCATGATTCAACCAGCACCCTGCATGATACCCTACACCCTAAACCCTAAACCTGGATACGGTTTAGGGTTTAGGGTTTAGGGTTTAGGGTCTAGGGTTTAGGGTTTAGGGTTTAGGGTTTAGGGTTTAGGGTTTAGGGTTTAGGGTCTAGGGTTTAGGGAACCCTAAACCTGACACCCTAAACCTTTTTGTGGCTCTGTAATAACCACTGGCCACAGACGGAATCAACCACTACATCAGTTGGCTCATCAAGCACTGGCTTGCTGCTACCTCGGGGCTTGGTGTTTAGGGTTCAAGGTTTCGGCAAAAATAAACCGCTACGGACCCCGAAGCCCGAAATTCCAAAATTCTACATACTGCACCACAGGTACTAAACCAAAAGCCCTCAATTCCGGCAGAACCTGCTAGAGTCTTCTCTGCTCCCCAAACATAGTTGGGTTCAAAGACAGCAACACCTGACGAAATTATTTTTTTTATGGAGCCCTAAACCCTACACCCTAAACCCTAAACCCTACACCCTAAACCCTCATTACACTCACAGACTCCCCCAACAGAAGCCCTACTCCACCTAAATGAGCCTCAAACTCGCCCCTGTGAAGCTTTCTTAGGAACTTTAGGAAACCCGGAGATGCCAACCCTCAAAGCCTTAAACCGCAGAAATCCTAAACCCCCAGGGTTTAGGGTTTAGGGTTTAGGGTTTAGGGTTTAGGGTTTAGGGTTTAGGGTTTAGGGTACGAAACCCCTAAAGAACCCTATTCAGAAGCCCAAGAACCCTTCGGAGATCCCCAAAGAATAAGACAAGAAACATCAAACCCCAAGGCACCAAATAATCATCGACCCCCTAAGCGGTAAAGCCCCAAACCCCAAAAGCCCTAAACCCAAAACCGAAAAATCCAAAAGCGCTAACCCTAAACACATAAACCCTAAACCCTAAAACCTAAACCCTAAACTCGTATGCTGTGGAATGCTAGAAGCAGCGGTTTCGTCGGATCGGAGAAGCGCAGCACCAGGGCGCCGGAGTCTTCTAGCCTAAGTCTCTTGAGGCATCGCAGGGGCGTCGAGTTTAGGGTTTGGGGTTTAGGGTTTAGGGCTTAGGGTTTAGAGGGGTTTAGGGGTTCAGAGATCCTTAAACCCCAAGCCCTAAACCCTGAACCCTAGGGGTGTAGAGGGTTCAGGGTTTAGGGATGTTTAGGGCTTTTTAAAGGGCTTGGGCTTCTTAGGGGCCTACGTCGGGGTTGAGGGGTTCGTGTTCAGGGCCGAGCTCATAGGGTTTAGGGTTTAGGGTTGAGGGTTTTCAGGGCCTTAATGATTAGAATAAGGTTTTGGGGTTCCTTTAGAGGGTTGCCTAAAGGGTTCTATAAGGGCTACTATAAGGATTTAGGCGGTTTAGGGTTTCGGGGCCTTAATGATTAGAATAGGGTTTTGGGGTATAAAGAGGAACCCCCTTATATTATTGTTTAGGGTTGGTGTACGATGTATGAGGTTTAGGTCTTAGGGCCGAGAGCGTAGGGTTGAGGGTCTTTTCTCAGGAGTTCACTACGTTTCGTGAGAACAAGCTCGACCTTTCACTCTGACTTTTTGATCTCTGACGTTTATTGAAGGAAACGGAGATTATTTGGCTGGTGTACTCTTGTCGTTTTGCAAGACATGTCACCTTGTCAGCTAAGCACGGTCTTGCTACTGCACTCTTTGAGGCCGACATGTGCAAGACACACTTTCGTGAGTCGTGAGTCCAGGGTGACAGCGAAAATGAGCAGATGTTGTTTCGGGTTTAAGGTTCCCTGAACCCTACACCCGAAATTGTGCTAAGATCGCACGCTGCGGTGACCACACACAGCGTAACCTCGACGATTTGCTTGCTGTGTCATTGGACAAAGGAGGGCGCATAACCCGGAGCTCTACCGCACGGGCCTTAACGATCAGAACAGCGCTTTGGGCTCCTGTTTACTATAAGTATCCCTAAGGGTCCAAGTACCTAATAATCAAATACTCTCCCTCATATTAAGCTAGAAAACTACTATCCGCAACCCAAGTACCTTATTATTGGGTCCTTTGGACCCTTAAGGTACCATGAGGAACCCTACCAAATAATGTTGGTAATTGTTTAGGCTTCCATGGTACTTGCGTCTGCAAAACAGTTCGGAGTGCAGCGATGGAGGTTGGTCCGGGGTTGAGGGGGCAGGTTCAGGGTTGGGGCGTAGGGCTGATAGGGTTTAGGGTTTAGGGTATCCTAAATCCCCAAACCTTGTGAATATGATTTTAGGGTTTAGGGTTTAGGGTTTTCCATGGATACCTAGGGCTGTAGGTTACTTGGGGTTAAACCCAAGGGTCCATGTACCCAAATAGTATATACCTTGGCCCCAAAGTACCTGTATAGGGACTACTTTAAGGCCAAAGTACATACCCTAAACCCTAAACCCCCAAACCTCTAAACCCTAAACCCCTAATCCCTAAACCCATATATACTATTTGGGGCAGGTGGTCCCGTAGGGTAAGGGAAACCCTACTTGGAGGATCATGGGACTTAGTAAGTAAGGTTATAAGTACCCTAATTGGGGTTATAATTATAGTTAGCTTATTTATAACCCTAGTTACTAAGTCCGATGATCCTCCAAGTAGACCATCCATCCAAGTGGCGCTTCCACAGTGGCGATGGCCCATTGCCTCACCTCGGGCCTCAGCCAGAAGGTCGCACGGTTTAGGGTTTAGGGTTTAAGGTCGCGGGGGCGATTTCTCCGAGCTCGAAGATTAGATGCCTTGGGGCTTAATGTAGGGGCCTTACTAATTAGAATAGGTTTTGGTGGATATTGTACTATAACTCTAATAAGGAACCCCCCAAAATAGTATAGGTAGTCATTTAGACACCTCTATTAGGGCTCAGGGTTTCGGGGGCTTTACGGGTTTGGGGGGTTTAGGGTTTGGAGTTTTTGGGGCTTCGGGAGCGGGCCGCTACCTAAAGCCTCCATTGTAGTTCCTTTCTGGGTTACCTTCTAGGATTTAGGGTTTAGGGTTTAGGGTTTAGGGTTTTTTTATATACACTTGGTAAAACCAAAAAAAGGAACTACAGCGGAGACTATCCCCAAGGGTCCAAGCACCTTGTAATCATATACTCTCACAAATAGTAACCTACATAACTACTATCCGAAACCTAAGTACCTGATTATTGTGTCCTTTGGATCCTTGGGGTGAAGGCCCCTATATTGTAGAACCCTTATAGCAACCCTTATAGAACCCTTTAAGGATCCCTTTAAAGGAGCCCCCAAACCCTAACCCTTGGGGTATGGGTAATTTGAGGTTTAACCTTAGTTACTAAGTCCCATGAACCTTGAAAAAACCCTAAACCCTAAACCCTAAGCCCCTAAAAACAACCTTAGTTACTAAGCCCCATGACCCTTTAAGTATGGATACTTTCAGGCTAAAGATGGATCCGGCTTCCAGGATGAGGGCCCAGGCGGTTTCTTGGAGGTTTAGGGTTTCGGGTTCAGGGAAGGATGAGGGCTCAGGGCGTCTTCGAGGCTTAGGGTTTAGGTGTTTAGGGGTTTAGGGTTTAGGGGTTTAGGGGTTTAGGGTTTAGGGTCTAGGTTTAGGGTTTAGGGGTTAGGGAAGGACGAGGCCATCAGGGGTGGTTTTAGAGGCCTAAGTGATCGGGGTTTAGGTAAAAACGGCATGTACGTGCTTTCGCGTGTGGCCTGCGGCCCGTGGTTTAAGGCTTCAATCCCCGAGACGGTTTAATTCTAGGGTTTTGCGTTTAGGGGTTTAGGGGTCCTGGGTTCAGAGGTTTGGGTGTAGGGTTTTGGGGTTTAGAGTCTAAGGGGTTTGTAGAGGTTTGGCGACTAGAGGTTTAGGGGTTTAAGGGTCTAGGGTTTAGAGGCTTAGGGTGCGGAGCTTATGAAGGATTAGAGGCTTCGAGCTTGTTTTGTTGAGACCTCTTTTCTGCCTAGGCCCTAAACCCTGAACCCTAAACGCTAAACCCTAAACCCTGAACCTTTAGGTTTGCGGGTTTAGGGTTTGGTCGGCTTGCCAAACCCAGAGACTCGGAGCAAAGAGTCTGAGCCTAGAGCCCACAAGCGAAGATAGGGGAAGCCCCTTATCCTTTAGATCGGTTTAGGGTTTAGGGTTTAGGGTTAAGAGTTTAGGTTCTAGGGTTAACGGTTTAGGGGTCAACCAGAACCCCCCCAAAAAATCGAAACTCGCAACACCAAACCGACAGTCAATGCGAATGCAGCCAAAGTGGCTTTGATTCGCCACTCTGCGTCTGAGAGACAGGTGCTGAAACGAGGTTGCTCGTGTCGTCCTCGATAACTTTGTACCTGAGCTGAGGCCGTCCTCTTGAGGCCTAGAGGGTTTATAAGGGTGTAGGATTTTCGTCGTTTTAGGTAGGGGTTTGTGGTTTAGAGTTTTCGGGGTTTTAGTTAGGGGTTTAGCGTTAGGGTTTAGGGCTTAGGGTTTGTCTTGATTTTTTGTTTATGGTTTTTGGGCAAGCGGGGTTGTGGGGCTTGGGTCCCTGGAAGACGCGAGCCGTGTCTAGGGTTTAGGGGTTTAGGATTACTTCTCAAGGGTGAACTAGAGCCCGAATGTTTCGGGGCTTGTGTGGCCTAGCTGGGTCCGAGGGCATTCACTGCCGGCAGAAAGGGGCATACAACTAAAAACGAAACTGATATGCCCCTCAACCCTAGATCCTTCAGTCCCTAAACAATATACTTTCGCATTGCTCCTTTGATGTCCTCGTCAATCCAATCGTGCTATCCTCCTCCCGGGTTCAGGATCACATCCTCCCCGTCGTTATTTGATCACTGTGGGAATCATGCTACTCGGACACCCAACGTTAGTCAAAGAGTAATCCTCTAGCATCCACAGTATGATTGGGGACATAATCCTTTTGGGGTCCCTAATATGACTTAATGTAGGGGCCTTAATAATTAGAATAGGGTTTTGGGCTCCTTGATGGTATAGTTACATTAAGGAGCCCAAGGAATAATGTTGGGAACTGCTTAGGCTTCTGTAGTATGCCACTTAAGGGATCTTGGGAACATCTGGGTTCGTACCTTATGCCACTTGAGGGTTTAGGGTTTAGGGGTTTATGGTTTCTAGATTTAATTGAGGGATCTTGTTGAGGGATCTTGGGTTTAGGGTTTAGGGTTTAGGGTTTAGGGTTTAGGGTTTGGGAACATCTGGGTTCGTACCAGGCTGCATGAGCTGGATCTTGGCGCTGCGCAGCACGATTCCGCTCCCCTCCTGCCGCACTCGAGGCAGGGAGCAAGTGATGGAGTCACGGCATCAGGATTAAGGGGTTTAGTAAACTTAGGGTTTGGGGGTTTAAGGGTTTAGGGTTTAGGGAAACCAAGTGCTATTTGGGTTTAGGGTTTTTAGGGTTTTTGGTTTAGGGTTTAGGGGGTAAGGGGGAAACCAAGTGCTATTAGGGGGCCTTAGATAATTTCCATAGGGTTTGGGGGTTCCTTTAAAGGGTTCCTTAAAGGGTTCTATAAGGGCTACTATAAGGGTTTAAGGTTTAGGCGCCTTAACGATTAGAATAGAGTTTTGGTGAATATTATACTATAATATAACAAGGAGCCCCAAATTCTATTGGTAATCATTTAGGACTGTATATTAGGTTGGGGCTTACGACGCTCTGACAGCAAGTGAATAAGATCTTCCTTGACTTGAAAAGAAAAAGACCGAACACAAAAACTTATGAGACTCGGATACCAACAACGCGATATTGGCCGCTTCGCCACGAAGATGAAACCAATACAAACTCCCGCAAATCTCCTCATACAGCCCTTACTAATTTCTATTCCAAAGTCTGTGCTACTGTCTAGGATTCAGGGTTAGGGCTTACAGGGCTTAGGGTTCAAGACTCAATGCACATCGGCAGGCTAAGTTGCTGGTAAAGCGCTGTTTGCGTTGTGTACCTCTCAGCAACCCCGTTGTCACCATGCCGCTCAATGGGCTCCGTGTTCTCGCCATCCCAGCACAGGTAGGCCGCACACAAGTACCAGTGGCTCGGGATATACGCCTTGTCCCAGTCGGCCGGCACTGTCATAGATCCTAGTGCTGCCACTGATTCCTCTGATTGCTGCAGCAGCTGGTGCTGCTCTACATCACGGTGTTGGACATTTGTTTGGCACACATAGAGCACTGCTGCCCGGGCGTTTGCTGGGAGGGCTTGGATGTGTGCCATGACTTCCCATGTCATGTTGTCACTTTCAGCACTGTATGTCTGGGCACATGCCACATTCCAAGCTATATATGCGGCACCAGCAGGACACCACTCCAGGGCAGCCATGGCCGGATTATTGTAGTATTTTTCACTTGTAGGGTGTGGTGTACCATAAACCCTACAGCCCCTAAACCCTAACCCCCCTAAAGCCCCTATAAACCCTAAACCCCTTAAGCCCTAAACCCCCTAAAGCCCCTAAATCCGAAAATTTGGGTTAAAAACCCCCACGAAGCCTCAAAGTCCAAGAGCTGCGTCAGACGAAAGCCGGCGGAGAAGCTCAGGGCGTTGGTGCCGCTAATGTCGAAGCAGAAACCTGGTTTGTTCTCTAAGTTCGGGTCCCTGGTTTAGGGTTTAGGGTACAGGTGGGGAGTTTAGGGTTTAGGAGTTTAGGGTTTAGGGTTTAGGGGTTGAGGGTTTAGGGTTAAAGGAAACTACAGGTGGGGAGTTTAGGGCATATAGGGCTTCTATAAGGCTTCTATAAGGTATATAGACCTTCTATAGGGCTCCTAAAACGCTAACTACCCACCTGGAAATGTCTTAGACTGGCTTGTTCTCTAAGTTCGGGTCCCTTTTACCTACAGTCTCCATTGTCGCTCTTTTTTTGGTCTTGTCACGTATCAATAAGGATCCTAGAAGGTATCCCAAGAAAGGAACTACAATGGAGACTATAGGTGGGGTCCTTCTTTCGAGTGTGCCGTACTATATTGGTGATCTAAAAGGGGACCCTCCTTCACCCAAAGGCTCCATGTACCTTTATAGTAGATACTTAGGCCTTAAAGGGGTCCCTATATAGGTACTTTAAGGCCTAAGTATGTACTATATGGGTACATGGAGCCTTAGGGTCAGAGTCTTTAGAGAACTACCCACCTGGCGTGGGCTCGGATTCTATGAAGGCTTTACGGTTGTGGGGTCTATAAAGATCTGAACCCTAGACCCTAAGCCCTAAACCCCTTAATGTGTGGCGGAGGGGGAGATGGAGATTCAAGAATTTTTAGGGCTTCGGGACTCCCGGACTTGAGATTTCAGGAACTTTCGGGGTGTAGAGGCTGAGGTGTTTTGGGGGGCTTCCGGGAGGAAGAGTTTGGGAGTTTAGGCTTGGGGCCGCAATAACTAAAGTAGGGTTTGGGGGGTATATTCTACTATAATTATTATAAGGAAACCAGAGTATTAGGCCCCTACATGAGGGTTCTTTCTGTCTGTTGTTAGCGTTTAAGGTTGCTTGAGGGGGAAGATTGCCCTAAACCCTAAACCCCTAAACCCTAAAAGCTTAGTTTTTCGGTTTGGAGGGAAGGTCTCGGGGCGAAGCTAGGGTTTAGGTTTTCAGGGTTTAGGGTGTTTCTGGTTCTCGACACTTCCTGCAAAAGCACGGCTTCCGAAGACTCAGAGTCTGTGTTACAATTCGGGTTTGGATTTTGAGGTTCGGGTTTGGGATTTAGGGTTTTGGGTTTAGGGTTGGGGGTTTAATGTGGCTCAATTAAGGTTTTGGGTTTCGGCATCTTTGCTGATGCTCCATTCTCAACTAGTTAGATTTCGTGCGTGTGTGTGTGTGTGTGCCTCTAATTCTGGACCACGTTGTTCCAAAGGTATCTGATTATCTGTGGCATGTGCATGTGCAGCGCTTTGTTCTTTAACAAACACCAGTAAGCCCTTGCCAACCTCATACAGGCGGATTAAAGAAACCACAAAGCCCCTTCAACCTCCAGGAACCCACCCAAAACCGCCCAATAATAACGATAAAATCATCAACTCACCCTAGAACCCTTGACCTTAAGCCTCTAAGCTTACACCACCCACCGCAAGCCCCACGCAGGAGTCCAAACCCTAGACCCTAAATCCATGAGTCCTTCACCCTAAACATCTCTAGACCCTAAACCCTAAAGCCTAAACAAGCCCTGAACCCTAAGCCGTGGCTCTGCAGAACCATGCAACTCCAACCCTGCCCAGCGACTCGAAAACCCTGGAAGCAAGGACAAATGTATATCGGATTCCTAGGGTTTAGGGTTAGGGTCTCTCTCTACCATGCAAGCTAGATACCCTAAACCCCAAACCCCTATACCCGAAGCCCTAGATAGCTTAATTCGATGGTTGAGCCCCTTATGAGACCCTCGCGGAAAAATCTGAAGCCCCTTGGCAACCACTATAAACCCCCTCGTGGCCCGTTCAAGCCTTGGAAAAATCGTAAATAAGATCCACTTAGGCCCAAGAAGGCAAAATGTGAAATGTCCCGAAGGCCTTCCCAGAACCCTAGCCACAGTTGATGATAATAAGAAATATACCATAATTCCCATAGTATGAGGCCTCTAAGGTAATGCAGGATTTGTCCTAAACCCTAAACCCCAACCCCTAAACCCCAAACCATAAACCCTAAACCCTAAATCCTAAATCCTAAACCCTAAACCCTAAACCCTAAATCCTAAGTCCTAAACCCTAAACCTTTTGCATCATCAACAATACCTCCACTCAAGAATTGAAGCAAGCCCCTGAGTCCCTGAGCGCTTGACCGCATCATAAGAGCCCGCTAGAGATCAGCACCCTAGTGTAGGTTTAGGGTTTAGGGTTTGGGGTTTAGGGTTTAGGGTTTAGGGTTTAGGGTTTAGGGTTTAGGGGTTTAGGGGTTTAGGGCTGTGGGTTTAGGATTTATAATATGGCCTTGGGTGTAGGGAACCTGATTAAGAAACCCTGGCCATATAACCCCCAAAAATATTAGGGCTCATAAACAGGACCCTAAAAAAGACCCAGCGTTTCTTGACCAGGTTCCCTCTATTATACGCCACCCAATATTCCTCGGTTGAGGGATTTTTCATGGACCCTGAAGCCTAAGCCGAAACCCTAATGTAGGGGCCTTAATATGTAATCAGAATGGGTTTTGGGGGTATGTTATACTCTAATTATGACGAGGAAACCTATGGAATAATATTGGCAATTATTTAGGACCCCAGATTAAATCACTAAACCCTATACCCAAAACCCCAAACCCTATACCCA